CCCGCCAGGCGCTCCCCTACAGGCCTTTCCATCCTCCATGAGTGTGAGCTTACACGGCCATTCATCTCCAGGCGGTTATGTGCACCATCACTGACAACTCCCTCCGCATCTCATACACACTGGGCTGCTCCCCTACTAAAATTTTCCAAGCCACGTGTTCCACGTTTCTTTTCTCTGCCATGCTCCCAGCTGTTTTGTGCTGTTTCGATGTGTCTGTTTGCATAGCACTGTCGGACTCTATGCATGAAAGGTGTGTTGTCGACATGAATGGTTTTGAAAATGTTTCTGTAAAGAACCTGCCTCACTTGTCATCAGGGAGAAGGAAGCTTGAAGCCCCAAAGGTGTAGAGGTCAGGAACTCCTGCTGGAATCTTTGCCAGATGGTGCATGGGCACAAAGAAAAGAAGCCCAATAAAATGTGATGTGGTCTCTACCAATATAAAGCATAGAGGAGTCTCTCCTAAAAAAATTAAATAATAATAGGCAGTGGTGACATCAAAGGTAGGATCCTGCCATAAACTAAAGGCTTAAAAGAACAATATATACTATATCGTGTGATGGCATTATGCTGGTGTCATCACAAAAGGACAAACATCCATGCAGAACTCAGGGAAACGTCATTGTTGGCTTTGTCTTGGTCAACACAGTGTTCGTCTGGCAAGAGACCCAACCATAGTGGAATGGAGCACACTGAAAAAGGGCACGCAGCTGAACCCCGTATTGCTTCCTGGAGGTCAGGATGGAATCTGCTGTCCTTTGTGTGACCCATCAGACAGTCCTGATATGCTGTTCTTAGATAAAGCATAATTTCAGAATTATCCCCTTTCATTTAGATTAGAAAATCCAACGCCCACAATGCCACAGCTGGAAATAGCAAAGTTGATGTGACCTGAAAAGGGAAGACAAACTCAAAGGGAAGAGGGGACCCTGAAAAAGAAGAAAGCATTTGTGTGATAGGAGAGAACTTAGAAAATTCATTCCTAACCATAAGAGTGTTATTATACAGCTTATCTATCCCTTTTCCAACCATTTCTTCAAAGAATGAATTTGGTGTTTCAGACTGGAGAATTAGTTCAGCTTCTGGTTGCTTCTCCAATTTTCCCTACCAAGTTTGCTCTATTTGAGTGTAGACCTTGTAAAGACAGGCTTTGAGAACATATTTGCTGTTCAAAGACTGGCTAGGGCCAAGATATGTGGGTAAGATGCACTTTTCTCAGATTCTTTCCTTAATCCTCCAAAAAAAAGGTTGGTCCCAAGTTTGCATGCTCTCCTTATGTTACCCACGTGTCTTTGCCAATCTTTCACTTGCTGTCTTTGGCCCCTGTTCCCCCCTAAAAAGATAACTGAAAAAATATGCTTCCTGGGTTTGTTTAATATCCAAAGAAAAAAACTGGTACAACCAAGATTGGCTTTATCAGCTCAAGCATTTTTGAATGACTTGGTCTCTCTGTGATTCCTTCTCATTCCCCTGTGAAACTAGAGATTCCCAATTGTTGCAACACATCAATTTATTTTGGATTCTTTTTTTAGTTAACTAATCAAAATATTATTTCACAGGCATTATTTTATGTGTTAGTAATGGAGCCAAACTTTTCTATTGATATTTTCCCCTTAGGGACAAAATTAAAAAAAAAAAAACAAGGTTTTCCCCAAAAAAAAAAAAATAACCACATTCCATGGCCAACAACTAGGACCATATACTCTTTAAGTCCTTTGTGATTCTTGCTTTCTCTAATAAAGCCATTTGGCCCAGCCATACATTTTTTCTAAATGAAATAAACATTCTAAACCTCTTTCTAGCCTTTCTCAATATTCATGTCCTGGGGTTTAGAGTCTCATTTACCCTGTGCTCTGCCCCTCTGCATTCTCAAATCCTTTCTACTCCAGATAGCTAGAGGATTCCATTTAAATCCTATCAGGTTCTTTTTAAAGCTGAAATAGGACCCCCCTCTGAGGTCATTTCTAGACTACTTCCACTGCCTGATTGATATGTAAAAAATGTCTTCATCATACCCCCCCCAACCAATTATTTTTAAATTCACTCTTTAAAGTAAAATAAAGTAACAGAGCCATGAAAATAGAAAAGCTACAACTTGGCTCTTTTCTTTTTATCTTCATTGGAATGGCATTTTTAAACACAGGCTTATGTCGGACATTGAACAGCCTCCACACAGGAATGAATGTTTTGATTAAAAGTTATTTAATATCTCTGGTTCCTTGGACTTCTGCCTAAAGCTAGAGATATTCTTAGCCACAGGTCTTGTGCCTCCTTTGATAAGATAGAACATGGCCTCAAAATCTAGAGAGAATAAATGGCATCCTCAAAATAGTCATTTGCTTGCATAGGTGTTTCTATCACAGAGGATACTGATACGTTACAAATTAGGAAGCCATGTTGGGATGGAGGAAAGAGAAATTCACCAACAGGACACCTTGATCTGTATGTTCACCAATGCTGGGCCTTTAAGTAGAAATCAGAGTTAGGATACAGTGTTCACATGGCAAACCTTAAAAACAATTATTCTGTGTGGCCCGAACATCCAGTTTTCTTGCATTTGTGTTCAGAGCAATGCAGGTTAAACAAAAGACACTTAAGCAAGTTGATAGTTAAAATGAGATCTTATTTTTAACTTCTTTCAATGTAAAATCATGGAGATGGATTCTCCTCGTAACAACTAAATGACAATACAAAAGGGAAAAAAAAAAACTTTGTTCCAAAATACAAATAGAATTTTGGCTCAATAAGTTACTTTAGCTTCAGAGGTAGTATTGTTCTCAGTGCAGCCTCTTTTCTTCAACTGTCATCATTTTGAGGCAAAATATTTACGGAACATTAAATTGTTTTTCCAGCTTTCCCACAGCATTTCATGCATTTAGATATTGACGTGACATAGTTAGAAGCTGAGCCCTCCGGACCTGTATTGTGTGATGGTATTGTGCTGCTGTCATCACAGAATTCCATTTTTTCCAGCCCCCAAGGTCCTGTCCGTACTTGCTAACAGGTCATCTGGACGGTGACTCCTATGTGCTCAATGGCGTGAGTGTTATCACAGTAACCTTGGCAACCAAGCTAGCTCTGACTTATGCTGTATCATAAAATTAGATAACAGAATTGACATTTAGCTACATGTCTGTCATACAAATTAAGCTCTGGAGAATGATGTTCTTTAGAGTCATGTGCCTTAATATGGAAGTAGAAGGCATCAATTAGAATAATTTTATACATATGCATACTATTCCACATTTAGGTAGAGGATATATATTTCCTCAATTCTTTCTCTATGATATTGAACCTCACATATTGTCATATTATTCTCACTGTGCCAAAATTCATGGTGGCTTTATTTTATGATCAGGACAAAGCTTATAGCAGAATTTCATCAGATACCCGATATAAATAGGATTATGAATAATAGAAAACTCAGCCTGTAAAAAAAATGTAAAATTCAAAGCATTCTTGGCTTTACTGGGTACTGTTATTTATGCTGATTGGAAGTAAGACTGAGCGCAGAATATTCCACAAACTAAATCAGAATCCCAAAGACAAGACATGCTTCCCTTTCATTTATATATTTGTGCATATTTTTACACATATTATTCCAGCACCCAAGAATCTTTGATAATATCTTTATTTCAAGAAGATTCTAACCCTGCAGACTAATACATTCATGTACTGGGAGTCCTAGGTTTTCTTTTATAATTCAAAATATTTTAAATTTAGGACTTCCCCTTCTATTTGCTATGGTCTGGTGCAATTTTTCTTGGATATAACTTGAAGACTCAACTTGTGAATTACGTTTAATGTAAGCACCCTGCAGTTTTCTGCATTGCAAATGATTATTTTTAGAAATTTTATGGTTGCCTGCATATATTTGTTTGTCCTCATTGATATGTAGAGGAGAAAGCTCATTAATGATTTAAAAAGAAGGTGTTTTGATTCATTGACTTGATTCTTCTCATTACATAAACAATAAAGGCAATAAATTAACATCTAATAAAATTAGAAGAGTTTATTTCTGAACTTAGCTGCAAGATAGTCTTGAATCCATGCACGCAGCTGTTTCTGTTTTTTATATTCTTCTGCCTCACTGTTTTGAAAGTCATTATTGAGCATATTTTAACCTGGAATGATGGTTTATAATTCCTATTTAGCAGATATCCATCAAACAATATTTGAACAGCTGTTTTATAAAATGGTTCTTTGCCTTCTAGAATGGTAAGTTATTATGTGAAAATAGAAGGTCCATGTCAGAGTTCACTATAAACCAGTTTTCCTTTTCCCTGTATACCTGCTATGTATCATGTATAACATTTGAAAAATCTAATTCCAATATTTTCTCACCTTATTAGCCCTCCGTCTAACTCTTGCCGAGCTGTATGTTAAATACTGTGCCTTATACCTAGTTTTTTAAAAAGTCAAGATTCCTGCAAGTTCAGGATTTTTCTTTTTTGGAAACAGATAAGTGGTTGTGCTCTCTACATGTGTGCCTAAGTGAGAAGAAGGGCAGAAAGCCTTCTGTGTATTTGCTGACCCTGATCAGCAAATACTTGTGACATTTTCGGCAGTGTTTAAACTGTTTGCTTTATCTCATTGGGTCAAGTCATTGTCACCTTTATGTTTCAAACTGGTAAAAGGTAGTTTTTATTGTTTTCTTTTATCTTGAAACTATTTCTTGTGAACAGAAATAGTTCAGCATGTTATGGCTCCAGGACTGAGTTAAGTTGGGGTAACCATCTCCACCAGAAAATAAACATCATTGGGAACTTCTCGGTGCATAAGCATTCTGCAGTGAGAGATGAAAATGGACTACCAGGCTGTATTGTTGCTGGAATGTGGGGGCTTATCAGGCTGTTTGCATGACTTAGAGATGGGTTTCAATATCTTTTAATATCTGGCCTTTTTTTTTTTTTAACTGTGACATGACATGGCATTAGATGAGTGGTAAAAGAAAAAAAAAAGTTAAAAGGCAATACGAGCTTCTTCTGTGATTTCCTTTTTAGGTCTGATGTTGTGGTCCTCTGTTTTTCAATTGCTAATCCCAATTCCCTAAATCATGTGAAAACAATGTGGTATCAAGAAATCAAGCATTTTTGCCCTCGCACACCTGTTGTCCTTGTTGGCTGCCAGCTTGATCTCCGTTATGCCGATCTGGAGGCTGTTAATCGAGCCAGACGCCCATTAGCCAGGTAAGCCAATGACTCGGGGTTTCAGGGCACAAAATAAGAGTTGGAGGTAGCAGGTGTCTCTGAGCCTAGCATTCTATTATTCAGTGGTTCTGAGATCCCATTCGATCAGCCATACACTGTAAGTCAGCCTGTCCAGCGTGAAGGTCTGTGCCTGACATCCTTCTCATGCTCAGAGCATCATCTCTTACGTTGGAGCCATGTTTTAGTAAAATGGTTGGCCAGTGCTTGAAGTGACTTCTCTCAATATAAAATTGTTCATGTAGGAGTGCTTTCAAATGTATAAAGTTTTATGCCGCAGTCTGGCTGCAGCAAAATTAACCGGGGGTGACGAACAACTTGTATATGTTGATACAGCAGGAGAGGGAGCCGTTTATGGTAGGACAACAGAGGTATTTATACATTCCACACAGCTTATCTTAATTAGCATAAACTAGATACATCAGTCAACCAATAAGGAATCTCCACACTTAATGGCGTTACTTCACAAACCACTCCCTCTGGCAAAATGCCAGGCGCCATCCAGACTTGTTTACAGACTCTAACATTTGCCAGGCGCCATCCTGACTTGTTTACAGACTCTAACAGTTTTATCCAAAATGTTAGCTGCCCATAATAATGTTAATAATGACATAAAATTAATTAAGGCTCAAAATGATCAGCCATAATTTTTGGCCCCAGGGAATATTGGGGTCATAGAGATATTCCTTTCCAGGTGCTCTTAACTTCCCTAATATTCTTTAGTCCAACCTGAGAGAACATATCCCAAAAGAACAGTGTCCAATTCCTAAAAATCATTTCAACCTATAGTTAATTGCAGGAGGAAAAAAAAAAAGCAAACACTATTTTTAAAATGCCTCTAGAAGCCCTTACTTGTGTTTTCAAAGTGTCACAATTTTCTATAAATCCACTTGAATGAGTATTTGAGATAATATGTTAAGTATAGTACTTGGTCCACAGTAAAACCTCCATAATGTTACCATTATGTGGATTCTAACTTTGGGGATAAATAAGTTTTTTGAAACATGTTCCCCCTCAAATTCCCTTTGTACCTTGGTATCTTCTTTTTCATGTTTATGGTTGGGTTTTTTTAATTTTATTTTATTTGCTGGAGAGCAAAGCTTTTCAAAACATTTTGATATTAATACCATGCTTTGATGTTTGCCTTAATAGGCTTGTCACAAAATTTTATGTGAGTGCAACACTGTGTACTCTTACAGTGAAAGCAGATGATGTTCTTTAGATAATTTCTGATGCCCTAGGTACATTTTGGATAAAATTTCTGAAAACACTTTATATTCAGTTTTTTCACAATCCCTATGTTCATAAATGCATGGACTAGGAAATGAATATTAAGAGCCACATGGGTATGTGGAAGACTGGAGGGGAGGGTCGCAGATCTGCAGAGAACGGCAGAGGAGACAGTCCTTCTGTAGAGCAATTCCAAGAAGGAGGTGGCATTTGAACTATGTCTGGAGAATTTATATAAGCAAATTTCAAGTCAGCCTTAGGAACAAAGAACACACAATGCCAGCAGGAACAAGCCTTGAAATTCAATCTTTGCTGCACTTCCCTTCTGCCTTTGACAACACCCTACAATTTTCCATCTTTATCCACCCAGTTTTCCAAATCCAAATTCCACCTATTATCAGTTTTCTCTCCTGAGACCAGGACCTGTCATATATATTACCTTTGGTGTCAAAGACCAAATATTTATTTAGAAGACTGGTTCCTAAAAACACGTCCCCAAATCAAGAAGGTGTTTTTGGAGAGTTGTAACACCAACTCACCTCATATCTGTGTTCTGTAATCTGTTGGTGCCTTCACATGATTATGCTATAACTACGTGGCTACAGTTTCTATATATTGGCCTTTTGGGCTTGATTAGATTGGAAGTGGGCCTTGTGTGCTGGAATAAGGGCTGTGGACTTTATTCCATGGGCTTCGTGGAATTATAGGAAATGAACACAGAAGTGCTGCTGTGCCCCACTTTGTTATTTAAGGACTGCTCTTGCAGCAAGGAGGACTGTGAGCTAAAATTGAAAATTTTGAAGACCAATTAAGAGGCTAATGGACCAGTCCAAGCAAAAAATAGTAAGGGCCTGATGAAGGGAGTGGATGTAAAGAGAAGGAGAAACATAGGAAAGAGGATATATGAATCCAGTAGACTTAAAGTAGACTTAATAGCTGTTGATGTGGACCATTTACCTGGAGTAGGAGAGTCTAGACTCTCATGGCTTAGTAGAGACCTGTCAACAATTTGCAAATATGACCTTATGCAAACCTTTTAAACTTCCTGCCTCAGTTTTTCTCAAAATGTAGAACAAAAATAATACCTGATAGAGTTATTGTAAGGCTCAGATAAAAAATTTAAATGGATGCATTTTAAAGTTATAAAGCTAATTTTAAGCATATGACGATGATGATGAAGAAGAAAGTGATAAAGATAATGATGGTAGCAATAATGATGGTAACATTATGGAGGTTTTACTGTGGACCAAATACTATACTTAACATTATCTCATTTAAACTTTTCAATAGTTTTTTAAAGATATGGATAATCATTATCATTATACCTGTTTTATGGCTTAATGAGGTTAAGTAATTTGCCCAAGAACAAATAGCTAGTAAAAGACAATACTTTAGTTACTGCTCTTACTACTGAAACCATTCTTATCTGTAGTCATAAATCTTTTACGTTTGAAAGGCTTGTGTTTAGTAGTTGATTTTTCGAGATTCTTATTAAAGCTTGAATAGATTTTTAGATGTATAATTAAATTGGGTGCTTAGGTAGACACTGGTGACTAATTTTTCTCTAAAATAAGGCTGATTATAATTTTTAAAAATATTCTATTTCAGGCCCATAAAGAGAGGGGATATTTTGCCCCCAGAAAAAGGTCGAGAGGTTGCAAAGGAACTTGGTATACCATACTACGAAACCAGTGTATTTGACCGGTTTGGAATCAAGGATGTATTTGACAATGCCATTCGCGCAGCGCTCATTTCCCGCCGGCACCTGCAGTTCTGGAAGTCCCACTTAAAAAAAGTCCAGAAACCTTTACTTCAGGCACCCTTCCTACCTCCCAAAGCCCCTCCACCAGTCATCAAAATCCCAGAGTGTCCTTCCATGGGGACTAATGAAGCTGCCTGTTTACTGGATAATCCACTGTGTGCTGACGTCCTGTTCATCCTTCAGGACGAGGAGCACATCTTTGCACATCGAATTTACCTTGCTACCTCTTCTTCCAAATTTTACGATCTTTTTTTAATGGAATGTGAAGAATCCCCAAATTGGGGTGAAGGCGTTGGTGAGAAAGAGATGCAGAGCAGACCTCTTCAGGGCCGGACGCTGAGTCTTGATGCAGATGAGGAAGGGGAAGAAGGTGCCCTGAGGAGGCCTCAGGCCGATCAGGGGATGTCTCCAAGCAAGAACCTGTTGGAGACTCCGGGGCTGGAAGCCGAGGGCTCCGTTACTGAGAAGCAGCCTTTGTCAGGCTGGAGCAAAGGGTTCCTTGGCATGCACAGAGAAATGCAGGTCAATCCCATTTCAAAGCGGGCGGGCCCCGTGACTGTGGTCAGGATGGACTCGTCAGTCCAGCCAGGCCCTTTCCGGACCCTGCTCCAGTTTCTTTATACAGGTCAACTGGATGAGAAGGAAAAGGATTTGGTGGGGCTGGCTCAGATCGCAGAGGTCCTGGAGATGTTTGATTTGAGGATGATGGTGGAAAACATCATGAACAAGGAAGCCTTTATGAACCAGGAGATTACGAAAGCCTTTCACGTCAGGAAAGCCAACCGGATAAAAGAGTGTCTCAGCAAGGGGACATTCTCAGGTGAGCAGGTCCCCTGGTGGAGCCATGTACACCTTTGGTGGTGTTTTATCAAACATTAGCCAAACTAAGAGAAGGAAAGGTTAACCGTAATTAACATTTACAAGTGCTTATTTTTTTTTCCATGTACGTTTCTAAGCTGAAGGTATTAACTTATTTAATTCTCATCAGTCTTATTGGTTATTCCCCATTTTGCAATTGGGAAAACTAAGGAACAGAGAGGTTAGGTAATTCACACACGATGACACAGACAATAAATGGTAGGAGGGGTACTGGAACCCTTTTTTGGTTACAGAAATCTGTTTCCTAAACTGCTGTGGCACCACGCTGCTCTAAGGGGTCAATCAGATGTCCCTGAGCCTGTCTCTAGCCAGCTTGATGCTTGCAGTACCCTATCAGCATCTGTTTCTTGACCAAGTCTATTTTTTTTTTTTTAAGTTGTACATGGACATGATACCTTCATTTTATTTATTTATTTTTATGTGGTGCTGGGGATCCTTGACTGTCAGCATTGATCTTTGGTCCTAAGCCCACTGAATTCCTTCTTGAACCTGAGTTTGGTGGCCCTTGCCTTCCTATGAAGGGTGTCTCATCTGTCCCATCTCCCTCCTTCTCTGCCCTCATGCTATTCTGTAGTTTTCCTGACCTTGCTTTGTCTTTGATATTTATGCTGATTGTTCTAAAATTGACCTCTGGGTGTGTGTGGGTGTGGGTGGATATGCATTTCATTGGAAAAAGTTGACTTCCGGAATTCTATTTATATGGATACCTCTATTTTTGTCTATCCTTCCTAGCCCCTGCCATGGTCCTACCCATTTAGCAAGTGGTCACTGAGTCTTTTAATTAATTTTAAAGCTTGTGAATAATATTTACTCCAAACACTGGCCATTGTGGTGTATAAATAGCCTTAAAAGTTAATGAAAGAACGCGCCACAGACCTACAGTAAGTTAAACTAAAGTTGATTGAATCACCCTCCCTTTACTGCAGTGACAAAACCAAATGAGGGGTGGGAGACTCACTAGGAGGCTCCCATTTTTAAAAAAAATATGAAAAACAACTTAGGAATAATTAAAGAAATTTGAATATGAACTAGACAGTGGATGACATCAAGAAATTATTTTTAATTTTCTTAGGTGGAATAATGAGATTTTTTTAGGAGAATGTTCTTATTTTTAGAATATTCATGATAAAGTGGTTAGGAATGAAAGTATCATTATCTGTTAAAAAAAAAATAAACGTGGCAAGATGTTAACAATAGGTAAATGAGTGATTGTTGTACAGGTTGAACAACCCTAACCTGAAAATCCAAAATCTGAAATGCTTCAAGATTTCAACTGCTTGATTGCCGACAAAGTGGACAGTTTCATATCTGTCCCCCACATGACAGGTCACAGTCAAAATGCAGGGCTACTAAAAATATTGTAAAAAATTATTTTCAGATTATGCACATAAGGCATATATGAAACATATGAATTTCATATTCAAACTTGGGTTCCATCATCAGGATATTCACTATATATATTCAGATATCCCAAAACCTGAACAAATCCAAAATCTGAAACACATATCCTCCCAAACATTCTAGTTCAAGGAATACTCAACTTATATTATTCTTTGCCTTGTTGTATATGTTTGAAGTTTTTCATGAGGAGGAGGAGGGAAAATATCCCTTTCCTTTTTTGTTACTATATGGTTCAGAAAATCTGTGTTGTGACCTTATATGTTATTTTAAATGCTTGTTCCTTATGGTGAAAATTGGGTGTGCCAAAAGTGGAGGTTAACGTGAAATCAGTGAGTACCCACAGAAGAGCCAGCGAGAGGGATACCGGTTGGTGGACATGGTTGGAACAGAAGACTCTGAGCTTTGGGCAGAGCCAGCTCATCATTGTGTTCCCTCCATCCTTTGGCAGATGTGACCTTTACCTTGGATGATGGAGCCATCAGTGCCCACAAGCCATTGCTTATCTGTAGCTGCGAGTGGATGGCTGCCATGTTTGGGGGTTCGTTTGTGGAAAGCGCCAACAGTGAGGTATGTGCCTTCCTCCAGGCCAAGTGGTGTCTTGTGAGTGTGTGTGCACGTGTGCTTACCTAAAATGTTGAAGTATCCAGATGACTTCAGTCTTTAACTGCTTCCGTGAAATAGACAGGGTGAAGCCACCCTTTTCTAATTCTACAGTCAGGAGGTCCTGTGGGTGATTCATCTCATGTTCGAGCACCTACACGTGCAATTCAGCCTTTCATCCTCACTCCTGTCCTTGACAGTGAAGACATGGTCAGCTATTCCTTTTTAACAAATGTCACCAAAGTACTATCAAAATCAAGTATTAAGAGGGGCAGAACCTGATGTCTAGAAGTTCAGGAAAGTGAGGAGTTCTTCACTTAAGTAAGTCCCAAGTCCTGTTCTGCCCTTAACCAGCTGGGGGACCTTAAGAAACCTCAACCTGGGCCTCAGGCTCCTTGCCTGCAGGTAAGGAATGAAGTGACCTTAACCTACAGCACTCCACAGCTCTTTCCTTCCTTCTCTGCCCTTGCAGAAGGGGTAGGAGGGTTTGTCAACTGCATTGTAGCAAACAGTCACTCCTCTGAATGAATCCACTTCTCAGAGTGCATAGGTCTAGTGGAAGCAGCTGGATCATATAGCACCAAAAGAAGGACATTCTTAGAACAAAGCAAGCCATATTTCAGAGGCACTGTCTTTATTCTTTTACAGATTCCCTTGGGGGGGGTGGGAAATTCCATTCAAGCCCTTCTAACTTTAGTCCAGAATGAACAAGCATTTTTGTTGAGTTTTGCAATTATTTTTTAGAATCTTTAAAAAAAAACATGGGGACACCCCATCAAGTTTATTGTCCTAAGAGACTTGTTTTGCTTATCTCAGCACATCTCCAAACTTTCAGAAGAAACACAGAAAACAATAGCTAACTTTTCAAAAAGGGTGCTCATAGGAGAAATCTGAGCACTTCCATTATGACCCAGGAGCCTGCATTTGCATCCCCAAGTAGGGAACAGAATCCTAGAATCACAAGCCTGGGATGGCTGGGACTGAGAAGGTCACTAGGCCACACTCCTGCTTCCAGAACAAACTGCAGCTGCTCCTAAACCACCATCTGCTGCTTGGGAAAAAGACATCAGGATTGTCCCACTACCTTCCTCTGAGTACCTACCAGCCTTTATAAATCAGAAGGTGCTCCCTTGTAACTAATCCAAGTCTCTCCTGAAGGATCAAACATGTGTGAGCCTTTTACCAAGATTGCTACAGTGTGGAGGTGGGGATATGGCTCAATTGGTAGAGTGTTTGTCTTGCATGCACAAGGCCATGGGTTCAATCCCCAGCACCAACAAAAAGCTTACTGCTGTATGATGGAGCCTGCATCATTAAGGGACTATGGGGCCCAGATCATAACTCTTTCACTTCCAAGCTGGGTGGCCTTGAGAATCAACCCTTGCAAAGCACTTCCTAAGCTTTGCATAAGCAAAGGGCAGCTGCCACCAGTCTTATTGTGATGATGATGGTATTCTTTACTTCAAAGAAAAATTCAGGGGGACCACCAATTAGTGAAACCTCATCCAATTGGCATTTTACTGACATCAGTAATCTCCAGAAATAAAGAGCTCAGAGGCCTGCTCCCCTTATTTTCCTAGCTCACTCAAATGTGTGCTGATTGTGCAGCAGAGAAAAGTTGATCAAGGTCAGGAACCCAGGCACAAAGGGACGCTGTCTGAGCTGACCTCACGAATGCTAATCCCCTTTATCCCTTCACAGAATGGACTGTAATCTTCTCCAGATTAGAATGTGCAGGAGAGGTGACCAAAACAAAACCTTGGCAGCAAGCGTGAACGCACACATATTACAGGGTAGTTAATAGCTGCACTAGAGGTGGCCACCTGCTTAGCACACCCTCCGGAAAGACCAGGTCACTTAACTCTGAGAACTGCAGCTGAGGTTAATCTGTATGTGTAGATTGAAACCAGCTCAAAAAATAAAGGCCATGGAACCAAGTCACCAAAAATCCGCCAAAATTCCATTAGCCAGTACACTAGAAACCCATTTCCACCCTTTCCTGCCCCCTTTCTTTTATTTCCAGCATACACTATCATTTAGTAATTATGAACTCTAGGCCCAGTTTGACCTTGGGCAAGTGACCAACCTTCTCTAAACCTGTTTCCTCCATCTATAAAATGGGGATGACAAGAGAACCTTCTTCAGAGTGTAAATAAAGTAAGAGAAGGCATGTGTAATGTCTCAGATGTGACACCTAGAACGTGTAAATGCTCAACAAATGTCAGAGACTGTTATCCCAGAGTGTTCTTGTTAAGTTCTTTCCATGAGGGGGTGAAGGTCTTTGTGCCCTGAGAGACATAAGTTAAAATGCCCCCAGTTCCCTTTCTAAACTAAGAAGCAAGATGGTGGTGGTCCTAGGTAAAGGGAAGAGGCACTTGGTCAAAGGCTTGTAAATAGCCCACAGTTGATTTCTCCTGTCTTCACACTGGGGCTTGGTTTTCACACTTGGGATTCGGTCTTCCTAGGTCATCATTTAACTGTTGATTGTCTTGGAGTAATCTGACTTCCCCCATGAAGTTCAGCCTATTTGGTGAGACGGGGGGAGAATTAATAGAATGCACATGCATATCCAGAAGGAATTATGCCTGTTGTTGCTTTAACATTTTTGTCCTTTAATATTCAAGAACACTATATCTTACATAGATCTTTTCTCATTACTTTTAATGTAGCAGTAAGCATAATTCTCTCCCCCCGAGGTACTCAGCAAGTGGTTCATTAAAAATACATGCCCGGCTTGTAGTAAGCAGTGCTCTAGATCTAGAATGCTTTCTCATTCTGTATGAGACAATCTCTAATTATAAGCCTAATGGTCTGAGCTAATCTTCACAATTAAAATTTTAAACCAACTGAACTAGAATATGCAACATTGTTTAGGAGGGCATATTCTCTTTCCTTACTCACTTTTTAAAAATTTTTAGTTGTAGATGGACACAAAACCTTTATTTATTTATTTTTCTGCGGTGCTGAGGATCGAACCCAGGGTCTCCTCCATGCAAGGCGAGCACTCTACCACTGAGCCACAATCCCAGCCCCCTCATTAGTCATTTTTTGTTTCTTTAAGCAACATTCAGCCAGTAGGATCTAAAACTTTGTATTCAATTTCTTCTGTAGCTTTATGTATATTATTTTTAAAGTGCTATCAAAGGTTGTTACACAATTAATTATAAATATGGAAGTCACAGAACAGGCTTTGTTATTAAAAAATCAACCACTAGAGGAAAAAAAATGCACGTTCTGAAAGTGTTTTTATTTTCATTTGATGGTTATTTCTAAGGATCTCTAACATGATTTGCCAAAAAGAATCATCACTTCAAAACTTGTTAACGTCATATTAAGCAAAAAGGAAACAGCAGGCATGGGTGATTATAAACATCAGAACACTCGGAGGACACAGGCAGGAGTGGGGCAGTGCTGCTCACTGGAATCTGTCGTCTCCTGTGGCCCAAAATAACGTCTTTTAACTTAAGATGTCCATTTTCATATTTGTATTTCCAATGGGCATTTTTTTTTCTTTAAGGAATGATTTAGAGAACACAGTCTTAGCAAACAGTGTTAAGACAATTTAAATATTTTCAAAACTGAGTGTCAATAAAGAAGAAACTTCTTAAAAATCTATTCCAGATTCCTCCCATATGAGATGAGGAAACTGAAAATCAGAGAGGGTAAGTGATTTATCAAAGATTGCGCAGTATTTTAGTAGCATATGCCTGGGCTTGCCCCAGACTCTTACTCTGTCCCTTCAGGCATTCTTTTCAGAGGCAACAGACGTCCCTGTACACGAGCGAGCAGAAGCTCTGCAGCTTGTATTAACAATTAGTAATATGGCACTTAGCACTTTGTAAAATATGGATACTTTGATTACAAAAAAAATTCAAATCTTAAAAGCTTCACAACTTAATCCTCAAATATCTAGAAAACCACTAATCCAAACATCATTCTAGAGTAATGAAATTTTGCTGTTTACATATACACAGAAACAAGTTTGTGCGAGCACCCATAAGGAACTTCATTATCTGTATAAGACAAATGCATGTGCATATCAATACATGTGTACGTAAGCATACACACAAGTGCAGCCAGTATTAGACTCACTCAAATGGCAATTGATATTTATATTCAGGTGCAACTGGTTGAAGAGAGGAATAACTAACATTCCAACATCTGGATATTTCACACGGCCCAGTATGTGTATGGCTTTAAGATAATAATGTCAATAAGAGTTTTTATTAATCAAATTCTATTATATATGATGTGCTAGAAACTTGAAATGAGCTGGGCACAATAGTGCACACCTGTAATCCCAGTTGCTAGGGAGACTGACTCAGGACAATCACGAGTTCAAATCCAGCCTCAGCAACTTAGCAAAGTCCTAAGCAACTTAGTGAGACAGACCCTATCTCTAAATATAAATAAAATATTAAAAAATGAGCTGAGGATGTGGCTCAGTGGTTAAGCACCCCTGGGTTCAATCCCCGGTAACAAAAAAAAAAAAAACCCAAAGAAAGAAACTTGATTATAATGACCCATGCAGCTTATTTATGGAATCATAAATATGGTTTTCACTGGCTGTGTCTCAAAGGGAAGTGTAGATTTCTTAATATTTCCAAGAATTTTTCTAGTCCTTCCATATAATATAATAAAGAATGACTCTACCTGCTGAAAATATATGCTCCCTCTGAGGTGGCTGGTGACTACAAAGGAGAATAATATGGGAAGTTTTTATGGCTTAATTCTGAAACCATAGGCCATGAGCTCCTTGTAGAATGCCGAAGATATGTGTGTGTGTGTGTGTGTGTGTGTGTGTGTGTGTGTATGTGTGTGTGTGGAGAGAGAGAGAAATAAGTATATATGGGGGAGGTGTAGTTATGTGTACTATATAGATATAATCATGTTTTATATGGATGTAATCATATTTAGATATAGATCTTTATATCTTTATATACTGTCTACAGGTTTAAGTACCAGAATTAGGAAATTTATAACTGTTATCCTTTTAAATTAGAAATGTAATTCTTAAAAACTATTAGTGAAATGCAGCACATTATTGTTCTATAACCCAAACCTTTACTTCCTTGCTGTTAATGGCTTCGAGTACTGCACAGTAATTAGAAAAACAGTCTTTAGAAGAATGATACTCCTGAGTTTAAATCCCAGTCCCTACTTAATAGCTCTGTGACCTTGGACCTAAGCTTTAACCTCCCTGAACCTCAGTTTCCTTTTCTGTAAACTGGTAAAAATAATGTCTCTTCCTCCTAGAGTGGAGATAAAAAGCAAATTGGATGGTTTATGTAGAAAGCTTAGCAAAAATGACTGGTGTATAGGAGGCCTTCTAGAAAGGTTAATCTTTGTAATCATCAACATTCCAGTAGGAAAAGCTAGTGGCACTACTATGTACCATGCCAGGGTCTGTCTTATGGAGTTGGTTGGGGACCTGGAATAAAGAATAGCCGCTTAAGAGAGTATATCCCTCTCCATCCTTGCCCACCTGTCTCAAACTGAACCTCCAGGCAGCAAACTCCAGCATGCATTTATATGGACAATTCCAGGTCCTCGAGATATCTTGACAAGAGGACTGTACATCAGACCCCATCAACCACTCCCCATAGATATCCCAGCAGGGATTCCTTTGGATTTTCCAAAGCACCTGAGACCAAATAATGTTCCAGTAGTTCTGAATCCAAGTGGTTGTAGGAAAAAATAATAAAGCATATATATGGCGCTAACACATATGGATAGAACATCAGAATCAAGCCAGTCACTGTGGCAAACGGGATGGTTGTCATCTCTCTCAACATCTTAGAGAGCAGGCGCTCTCCTGTGTCGGCAACAGTGTGGCTTGCTCCCCCCCCCCACCTAACACCTATCGTGTTTCTAGATTTCTTTCTCCCACAGTAGAGTATTATCAGTACCTGCCAAGGAGGGCCCATAATGTCACCACACATTTGCAGCCCATTTGTCTGATTTATACATCTGAATAGCCATTTAAAAATTCCAAATCAGACTTTGTCAAACAGCTCCACTCTTTTGTCAACTACAAATCAAACCGTTATGTTTAAAGCCATAAATACTGAATGATTTCTACGCACAGCCTCAAAGCAGGTATCTGAGACTTGGCAGTATCGAATCCCACAGTTGGGATATTTATAAGCCCATAGCCTGAAAATGAGCCTATTCCCTGATTTCTCCAGCAGAATTGAGTGTTTCCTGTAACATTTCAGGTACATCTCCCAAACATAAACAAGATGTCAATGCAAGCTGTATTGGATTATCTCTATACCAAGCAGTTGTCGCCTAACTTGGACCTGGATCCGCTGGAACTAATTGCCTTGGCAAACAGATTCTGCCTGCCACACTTGGTTGCACTTGCAGGTAAGGCTGATGACTTTGCACAGGGTCTGTCGTATTCTTCAAGATCGCATTTAAAATAAGAGCTTCAGGGAATAAGAAGGTATTTTTTTTATCCCCCCAAATAGGACTGTTTTATATCTGCGATATGAATTGATCAAATGTATCAGCAGTTCAAAAAATATTTTTTAAGCATCTGTTTTTGTGCTAGTCCCTGTTAGGTGATACAGATATAATGGTCATTCAGGACCCTGCCCTGGAGGCACATGCTCTATGCATGCCGAGTCACTTGTGGGCACAGAACTTGAAATAAAAAGATTCTGTCACCAACATCCTATCATAATGTGTGCACAGACACAGTGTTTAAGGAAGAGACAGTCGGTGCAGTGGCTAAGTATAGACTACAGAGCCAAATTGCCTAGTTTCTGATTTGGGTTCCACCATTTACTGGCCAATGACTTTGTCCTTTATAGAACCTTTGTTCTGTAGCTCAGCTTTCTCTCTTTTAAAGCAGGAATAATATTATCTACCTTCGAGTTATTGTGAAGATTAAGTGAGTTAAAATATATAAAGTCTTTAGAACAGTGTCTGGCTCCTAGTAAGCATTATGTAAGTGGTTTTCTTATAGCTATTTCAGAAAATGTTCTGACATTGTCAAGTTCATTTTGGGAAAAAAGAAAAAGGGGAGGTTTGGCTTAGCTTCAAGAACCTTATCTACAATTCCTAGTTTCGTTCAGTTGATAAACTGAAGCAGGTCTGTATAGGATATATGCATTTAGATAGCTTTTGTCAACTTTTTAAAATTTAAATCCTCTGCTTTGCTCCCCAGAGGTGTCAATTAGCAAATTGGATTTTCATTACTGTGGTTATTCTTATGAAGAATGAAAGCAGAGACAGACAGTGCCTGTCTTGTTCACTGGCCTTTCCCCTGTACATGGAAAAGTGCCTGAGCCTATTAGGCTCTCAATAAACATTTCTTGAATAATTGAGTGATTAAAAATGAGCAAATGAATAAATCAACCCACCCTCTCTACACTTCACTTTCTGGCAAGGACTTCAAATGGGAAAGATGAGTTTTTCTGTCCTCCAGGTTTCTGCTACACACAAACCATCTGAAGATCAAAGTCCTCTCTTTTCCCTACTTCTTCCCCCCAATTAAATAGAGAGCTGAAGCATTGCTGTTAGATTTGTTTAAAAAGAGTTTTTTACTAATATACCTAAAGCCATAGATCCAACTGAGTGTACAACTTTTTAAACACTAACTTCAGCAGGCTGCAGGAGGCAGCTCCTTTTTTCAGAAATATGAGTTTCATGTAACTCTCCACAGGTTTTCCAAATATTTGTCCTTTGAGGATGAATTTGATTTTTTTTAATGCCCAAAAGTAATTTGGAGTCAAATTCATCAAACAAGGTTTGTGATGAGTCTTGAAATATTGCCATTTTTGCTAAAATATTAAGACTGGCAATGATAACATGGGATTGATTTCTCCATGAAAGCTATTTTTTTAAATGATCCAGAGAAAACTTTGTGTGTGAACTCCAGACTTCTATGTACATTTAGTATTGTTGTTAAATGTTGTTTTTACTGTTGTGATTATTTAATATATTGCTTCCTCAGAATGATTCCTTTAATCATTGATAGCATTTGGCATGTATTGTCTAGAGTGTCTAGAATATCTTTGCAGAGTATTTAAAATTCAGTTTCCAGGATGAAATGCTTTGCAAGCCAGTGTTAAATAAATATCAAGAAATGCTCGCTGAGTGCAGTGGTGCATGCCTGTAATCTCAGCGGCTTGGGAGGCTGAGGCAGGAGGATCACAAGTTTGAAGCCAGCCTCAGCAAAAGCGAGGTGCTAAGCAACTCAGTGAAACCCTGTTTCTAAATAAAATACAAAATAGGACTGGGGATGTGGCTCAGTGGTTGAGTGCCCCTGAGTTCAATCCCCAGTAGCCCCCACCTCCCCGCAACAAAAGAAAAGAAATGCTGCAGTTATCTAAGATGAAAGAACCCGGATGACTTCTCTGGGAAATTTTGTGCCAAATAGTTTTGTTTATCAGTGCAGCTGAAGAGGGTTTTGCCAAAGAAATCATTCAGTTCCAGAGGCCAAACTGACCAGATAGAGGCACACTGAGTACATGAAGCCAGAGCACAAAGTAAGCATGGGTTGTACAATACAGGTGTATCTCAGACATGTTGCAGGTTCAGTTCCAGACCACCACGGTAGAGCAAATATCACAATAAAGTGAGCCCACGTGAAGCTTTGGTTTCCCAGAGAATATTAGTTATGTTTACAATCTACTATAATCTATGAAGTATGAAAGAACGTTATGTCTTAAAAAACAAAAAGCATACCTAGTGAAAAAAATGCTTTGTAGCTAAAAAAAAAAAAAAATGCTAACAATCTTTTGAGCCTTCAGCCAGAGGTAATCTCTTTTCTGGTGAAGAGTCTTGCCTCAGTTTTGAGGGCTGCTGGTTGATCAAGGTGATGATGCTAAAGGTTGAAATGGCTGTGGTGGCTCTTTAAAACCAGATGGCCATGAAGTTTGCTGCATGGACTGACCCTTTCACAGAAGAGTAGGCTGCAGCCTATGACGCTATTTGATAGCATTCGCCCACAGTAGAATCTCTTTTGAAAGTGGAGTCAGTGCTCCCAGTCTTGCTGCCTCTTCCTCACTAAGTCGTTGTGACATTCTGGATCTGTTCTCGTCTGAGCAATGCACACAGTGTTTCCACCAGGTGCAGGTTTCTATCAAGAAGCCACTTTGCTCGTCTTTAAGAAGAAACTCCTTACTCATTAAAGTTCTGTCATGAGATTGTGATAATTCAGTGACATCCTCAGGCTGCAGTTCTCTTAGAAGTTCCCATTCTCGCCCTCTTGTTATTTCTACCCCATCTGCAGTGTCTTTGTACATGGAAGTCTTGAACTCCTCAAGGTCATCCATAGGGTTGGAACCAACTTCTTGCAAACTCCTGTTAATGTTGCTCTTTTGACCTCTTACCATGAAACATGAATGCTCTTAGTGGCATCTAGAATGGTAAATCCTTTCCAGAATGTTTTCCAGTTTAATGTTGTGTGGGGCATGAAGATGGCATTAATCTCATTATACATCTGTTATGCTTTCAATGTAAGGTACCCAAAAGCTCATGCATGAAACAATACAAGAAGATTTAGAGATGAAATGATTGGGTTATGAGAGCCTTCATCTAATCAGCAAATTAATGTCCTGAAAAGTGGATTGAATGGTAACTTTAGGCAGGTGGGTCCCTGGGGAGTGTGCCTTTGGGGTTTATATTTTGTCTTTGTTGAGCAAAGCTATCTCTGCCTGCTGACACAATGTCCCCAGCTGCTTTCCTCTGCCACACCCTTTGCCATGATGTTAGGCCTCACATCAAGCCCTGAGGAATGAAGTTAGCTGTCCATGGCCTGAGACCTCTTAAACCAGGAGTGCCAAAATAAACCTCTCCTCCTCTAATTGTTCTTGTCAGGTCTTTGGGTCACAGCAGTAAAAGAGCTGACTAAAATAGCATCTGTATTAGAGCTCTTTGGTGACGAGGTGTATTGCCAGTGATCACTAATATTTTGAAAGAAATCTTGTTTTTTCTTAACTGCAGGTCTCAACGGTGGGCTAAAGACAATAAATTCTATTGTAAACAGATGTGCTGTCATCCAGATGATGTCCCGTTTCTGGAGCAGAGGCAGAGCCTATTTAGTGTAACTCCTAAGGGCCTTATGATTTTCAGAGTGACAAATGAGCAGTGGCTTCATCTTAAATTCTCCAGCTGCTTTATCCTCTAATAAGAGAGTCACCCCGTCCTTGGAAGCTTTGTATCCCGGCATTGGCTTCTTCTCTCTATGGAAGCCCTAGATGGCATGTTCTTCCAATGAAAGGCTGCTCTGTCTGCATTGCAAACCTGTTACTCAGAGTCATCGATTGTCTTAGCCACATCTTCTGGATGATTAGCAGCAGGTGCTCCGCTTGCTGCTTCACCTTGCCCTCTTACATTATCAAGCCGTCTTCTTTCCTTTAAGCCTATAAACCAACCTCCACTAGCTTCACGTTTCTCTGCAACTTCCTGACCTCTCTCAGCCTTCATAGAATTGAAGAGAGTTAGGACCTTACTTTGGCTTAGGGAATGTTGTGGTTGGTTGGCTCTTCTCTCCAGACCGCTGAGACTCCTCCAGATCCAGCAATAAGGCTATCTTACTTATCATTCCCTGGAGTAGCACTTGCAATGTCCTTCAAGAACTGTTCTTTTGCATTCGCAACTTGACTGTTTGGTATAAGAAGGCTAGCTTTCAGCCTTTCTTGGTTTTTGACATGCCTTCCTCTCTAAACTTAACCATTTCTAGCTTTTGATTTAAAGTGAGAGGAATTGGGAGTGTAATCCTAGTGACTGGGGAGGCAGATGCAGGAGGACCACAAATTGGAGGCCAGACTCAGCAATGTAGACCCTGTCTCAAAAATTCAAAAATTACTATATGACGTACCCCTAGGTTCAATCCCCGGTACCAACAACAAACAAATAAATAAGAGTGTGACTCTTCCTTTCACTTTTGAACACTTAGAAGTCATTATAAGCCTATTAATTGGAATAATTTCAGTACTGTTGTGTCTCAAGGAATAGGGAGACCCAAGGAGAGAGAGGAAACAGGAATAATCGGTCAGTTGAACAGTTAGAACACACACATTTGTCTATTAATTTCATCATCTTCTATGGGCAAAATTTTTGACACCCCAAAACAATTACAATAGTGACATTAAAGATAATTTACCCAAGATCACCATAAACTTATATAGTAATAGCCAGGCACTATGGCACATACCTGTAATCCCATCAGCTCAAAGGCTGAAGCAGGAAGATCACAAGCCACCCTCAGTAACTTAGCAAGACCCTAAGCAATTTAGCAAGACCCTGTCTCTAAATAAAATATTCTTTTAAAAGGGCTAGGGATGTAGCTTAGTAATTAAGTGCCCCTGGGTTCAATCTCCGGTACCAAAAATATAATAATAATTTTATATATACATACATATATACATGTACATACATATATAATGTATGTTATTATGAGATTTATATATACACACATACATATGTGTACACACATATAATAATGATAAAAATGTTTGAAATATTTTGAGAATTATCAAAATGTGACACAGAGACACAGAGTGAGCACAGGCTGTTGGGAAAATGTCTTCAGTAGACGCACTCAACACAGGGTTGCTCCAAACCTTCAATTTGTAAAAATCATAAGTTCTGTGAAGTGCAATAAAATGAGATCTGGATATATATTGGGCTAGAAGAGCAAGTACAATGCCTGAGAAGACATCAACATCAAAGAGCTAGAAATACTGGGCCAAGCCTGGTCACACACATCAACCCCAAAGGCCACAGACAGCCCAAACAGAGGCAAGAATCAGCCGAACCCAGACACCAATTTAAATTCGGCTTACAAGATTTGGACATAATCTCCCAAGCCGAAAGACCCTCCCAACTTGGGTTTTTTGTTTCTTCTGACTCCGGTTCCCTCATCTTTACAATCCAAGAGGCTGAACAATACATTATCCATCTATAGCTATTGATACAGACACATGCATCCACATTTTTAATTCCCCCATAGACTTATTTTTCCTGTCCTTCAGTTTCTTCACTGTCAGAGCTTATTGAGAATGAGAGCCATGTCAGCACAGAAACTGTCAAACAGGAACGTTGATGCTAGGAATGGCCTAGAGGATTCTAGAAAGATGATAGACTATTTAGAACCATTCTGTCCAGGAGAACTGTCTCACAGTGATGGAAATGTTCTAACCCTACGCTGTTCAATGCTTTGAGCACAAGTGTAGCCATTGAGTGTTTCATGCGCCCAGTGTGAATGAGGAACTGAACTTCTCATTTTATTTAATTGTAATTAATTTAAGTTTAAATAGTCTGATATGGCCAGTGGTTACCATCCTGGATAAGACAGAGAGAGTCTAGAGGATTCTGGCTAATTCAGAAGCACAAACACGACAGGGATGTTGGCGGAATGTTGGATGCCAGAGTGCTGCATATTAAAAGAATCCTGGTCAGTTTGGATGGCTGCCCAGAGCCGTGTCCCATATTTCCTCCCTTCTGAACTGGTCCCAGCCCAGCCCCTTCAGGCAAGGTGTCTGGCTTGCAGAACACAGTTTTAACGTTCTTTGGCCCTCTCTCTCTTCCCCAGAGCAGCACGCCGTTCAAGAGCTGACCAAGGCCGCCATGAGTGGCGTGGGCATTGATGGGGAAGTGCTCTCCTATTTGGAATTGGCCCAGGTTTGTTACAGTTCGCTCTTCACCTCTTAAGTGTGTTCAATCCGTTCATTTAATGCTGATAAAACATTCCACTCTTGCATCTGTCTAAATAAAGATGTCACCACTGAGTCACAGAGGCCCCCTGTGTACATGGAGAAGATCTGAGAGTTTTACATTTCAAGGCACCATTCAGCCTGCTGGGCTTCCTTTGATAAAACAACAAGGACCCCACCCCCCACACCAGTCCCATTGTCCCCTAAGGCACTGTCTTCACATGTGGGAGAACCTCTGGAGCAAGATAGGGGGAGGTTTTGTCTCCCTTCTTTGAATTCTTGAACAGTTTCTAAAATCCCATGAAGCCCTATAATGCCCCCCCCACACACACACACACACATTAATGAACAGCTCCCTGAAGCTCTCCTGGGGTTTTCTAAAATCAGTACGTATTAACATCAGTATCCATAATCCCAATACATACTTGCATTCTTCCTCCAGAGAAGACCAAGAGCCAGCTTCAGCTTTATTAACCAAAACTTCTCTAAGGCACGAAGCTAATCTGCCTCAGTATCCTCTACTCTAAGAATAGTGTGGATGGCCATTCACAACCTCACCCCCTTACAGATCATTTTGAGAATTAGGTGGAAGAGAATGTGGAAAGAGCCCTGGAGAATGGGAGCCCTCTCATGAGGAAAGGCACATGGGCAGAATGCTAGTCCCTGGCTTGGACTGATTGACAATGAGTTTTCCACTGAAGGAATGAATAAGTTCTACCATCTTTCTGCTTGTGTTTGGCTTTCTGTGTGCTCATTCTCACTCTCTTACTCTCTGTCCTAGGGAAGTGGCTTACTAAGTCTGAAGTCAGGCAATTTAAACCAGTATTTAAATTGAGTAATTTGATTGATTGAAGGAGAGGAGGTGGTTTCAAGGAGAGGAAGGTGCAGTATGGCAGGTGTTGCTCAGGCCCTTCAACTGTGGCCACAGGAGGTGGCTCAGGTTCAAAGTGTTAGAAGGTGGAACAGGACTTAGGACAGCCTACTCACTCTGACTTAGCATTCAACAAATATTGTTATTTTCTCTACGAGTACCAGGCACCACTCTGGGCTGAGGGTGTACACATTACAAACAGTAGGTTCCCTGCCTTTGGAGCAATCATAGGCAAGTGAGAGAAACAGCCATGAATCCAGATTATTACATCCAACATAAACAACAATCCAAACTGAAGACAGACATCTGTGGTGGTAGAATCAGTAAGCCCCCTACCATGGTTTGAAATTTGGGGTCTTTTGAAACATTCCCCATTTGGGTGACAGTTTAAGACTTGTGCTCTATTCAGTAAGTGTCCCTCCTAGGGAAAAAGGAAATGACTCAGAATTTCATATAGGACCAGTTCACTTGAGGTCATAATTTGCACTTATGTCTGTTTGCTCAGTGTCCCCAGCCCATCCCCTCCCCCTACCACCCTTCCCACACACACATACACACATCCTGCAAGGAAATTTGATTATGCTAAGCCCTTGGCAGAAAGAGTTTAGGATGGAGTCTCCTTCGCTGGTTTGTTAAATCTTAACCTAGAAAAGAGCTGGAAAGAGCTTAACATTGACCCTTAGGGGCAAGTGGGTCCCTGATCTGTTGCCTTTTCCAACTTCTGTGGTGTACGTGCTCCCACTGCAACTGGATGTAGTAATATGAAGTCACTGGACTCAGAGCAGGAAAGAAATTTAGACCATCAGCTGGCTCTCTGGAGCTGGCACTTGCCAACCTGGCTCACCACTACCAATCATTTTCAGAGAGAAATTGAACATCGAGGAGAAGCTGGAGGTACCAACGTCACACTCTCTCCAATGTTTGGAGTTGTGATTTTCAGTCTCTTGAGAGGGTTTCTGAGAACTTGGGCTTTTCTATTGTCCTTCTTAGTGGAGGTACAAGCCACAGGGGTTCAGGTCTCTATGGCCAATAAAACATCTGCATGAGGGGCAGGCCGAGGGGAGCCATGCTGTATGTAATAGGATAAGGGGGAGAGTTGGCTGCTGGTTTGTTTTTTTGTTTTTAATATTTTTTAGTTGTAGATGGACACAGTACCTTTATTTATTTATGTTTATGTGGTGCTGAGGATCGAACCCAGTGCCTTACAGGTGCGAGGCAAGTGCTCTACCACTGAGCTACATCCCCAGCCCCATGGCCGTTAGTTTTTTGAGCATCAGATCTTTTGCAGCCATGGCTACCTCAGCTGCTACCTCCCTGAGCATCTGCTCAGAATAAAAAGATGGAGTAGTTGTCCCCCTCCCACCCTGCCCAGACGGATTGCTCCTCTTACTTAACCAGAGGACAGGTATAGGACAGTCAGGCATTCCACAGTCTCGTCTTTCTGATCTTCGGCCCCAGCAAGCTGAGCTCTGACATGTGACACGGAGTATTCTGTTGCGGAGGCTTCCTTAAACAGAGGTGACATCGCTGCTCTCTGCTGCTGGCTGGTGCCTTCCAGAGGGCAGGGCCATTCATCATTAGAGGCCAGGTGGTGGGAGGAGGGCAAAAGGGCAAGGCCTGTTTTAAAAACGATGTGATATAGTGATTATTTTGGGCGTCTCTGTCACGGTGGGGGTGAGGGAGGGTGTGCCAAACACTACCCTTGGCGGGCATCAGAGCCATGGCCAAAGTCAAAACACTGAGGTCAAAACAGAAATTTTCCTGAATCAGTGCTGTGGGCCCTGCATTTCTTTCCTCCCTTATGATGGCTTCCAATTTCTCTGTAGCCTCCTCACTTTAGAAAATAAGAATCTGATCCCCATTTTGGTCACTTTTCTGCAGTTTCACAATGCCAACCAGTTGGCCGCCTGGTGTCTGCACCACATCTGCACCAACTACAACAGTGTTTGTTCCAAGTTCCGCAAAGAAATCAAATCAAAATCTGCAGGTAAGACCATGGGAGGTCCCCCCTTCATCCAGTTCTCCCCACCTGACTGAAGTAGCTAGCACCTTCCATGCAGTGGGAGGGAGCTCACTCATCTCATGGAGAAGTCCTTGCCTGGCAGTCACAGGAACGGTAGTCTGAGGATTCTCTTTGGAGAATGACTTGTATGGGGGACTCAGGTGGACTGGAGTTCAGGATCCCATGCTGCACCGAGGTTGTTGGTTCCCCCTTGTCTAGGGAGGCTGGTCCTGGGAGCTAGCTTAGACTCTAAAATCAAATGGTTCAGGTTTCTCTGTGCTCAGCTGCAGGACTTGTCGGCAAGAGAGGTTCTACCTCTCTAAACTCTAGTGTCACCATCTGCAGATGGTGCTACTCATAGTCTCCGCCACATCAGGCTATGGAGAGGATATCTGAAGCACCAGGCACAATTAGTGGACAGCAGGAGTAACCATCAGCGTCTTTCCTTCACCAGACAATCAGGAGTACTTTGAGCGGCACCGCTGGCCCCCTGTGTGGTACCTGAAGGAGGAAGACCACTACCAGCGAGTGAAAAGGGAACGAGAGAAGGAAGACATTGCACTAAATAAACATCACTCAAGACGAAAGTGGTGCTTCTGGAATTCATCTCCGGCAGTTGCCTGAAGAGGAACAGAAAAAAAAAAAAAACAATCAGTAATCTGATACACCACTTTTAAAAGCACTACTGTAAAGTTAGTCGTCTTATTAGAGATGCGATGTAGTTCAGGTTTCAGGCACTGACCTTCCTCCACTTTTGTGCATTTATCTTTGTTAGGATCAAAGCACAAGCTCACCATCAATGAGCCTGGACAAAAAGGGAAGCTGACTCTCTCACTGCATTCCTTAAACTGATACGTATATATCTATTTTTTTTTTTTTGGAGGCTTAATAAACTTCAGTCCGTTACTTTGTTTCTTTTTTATACAAAGAAAAAAAAATCCAGCTTTCATGTTTCAGATTCCAAATTGGAAAATATTTTTATATGGTCTCTTGTATTTTGTTGAAACGAGAATACTATGTATTACTTTATTTTACAGGCCACAAATTTGACCATGATGTCGCCCTGTGATTCTCTTGGCCCATATGACTGCCAAGCATTATTACATAATTAAAGGGTTATCCTTTTGCTGTGAAGTAAAGGGTTGGACTGAAGTCCCCCAAAGTGCAAGTTGAAAGTGCTTGATTTTTGTTCTTCTGAATAACATCGGTATAATTACCAACTCGACTCCAAGAATGTGTATTTACAATATTTGCTGTGTAAGTGCTAGTAATTATATGGTTATATGTGCCATGTAAAATATAGTGATAGCAAATATTCTGTTGTTTAAAATGTCTAGATTCAAGAGGATAATCTTTATAATCATTAGAAGGGCTCATTAAATCCCAGCATTATCCAGGGCAGACTCACTGGTGGACCTAAACACATAAGCTACCATTAGTGTTTGGATTGCTATATTAGGTTATGTCTCCCAGTATTCCTTGATTTGCCGTGCTTCTGCATCAGACTCTCCTCTGACTTGAATTGAGATGGGTAGGGGAAAATTTCCCCAGACTCGTCCCACCGTCTACAGGTTTGTCACATCTCACCACCGGAAAACCGTCTTCCTCAGGTCTCTCACCTGTGGCCAACCAACTTCATTTTGTAAGGCATATATTTTTAACTCTTCCCAGGGAAAAATTCATGTTGCTGCAGAAGTAGGCTAAGGCAAACCACCCACTCCTGCTGAAATTCAGCAGGGCCTGTGAAAGCATGGAGCTGGAGGCTAGGTCCCTGCCTTCTCCAACCAGAAAGGAATCTAATCCCAAGAGTCTAGGAAATGGTGCTATTGTGAGTTAGTTCTGACCCTTGGTCCTTCTGAGTTTTCAGTGTTAAAATAGAAAATGGTAGAGGGGTGGGAGGAGCTTTCAAGAGGCATCTAGTCATTGCTTCTCTGTGAATTAAAATGTTACACACACACACACACACACACACCACTGTAAAACCACATCTCTGTGCCTGCTGGGCGAGACATTATAAAATTGTGTGGGCAGGACCCTGGGGCTCATCCTTTTAGAAGGTCAACTTATTGATGTTAAGGGCTGTTGATTTTTTTTTCTATCTTTTCGTAAAATGAAATAGACAGCTGAGTCCAAATCCCAATGTGGACAACCGTATGCATTTGGGAACCTGTGTTACAGGTGGGTGTTTATTCTTGACAGTGGAAACACATTAGATGCAAGAGCTTGCCCAAAAGTGCAACACCCTTTCTGACAACAGGGGGCAGTAGGGTAGGGATGGTGATAAATGCATCCCCCTTGATTTTTTTTTTTAATGGGGTTATAAATCATTAATGGAAGCAGAAAGAAGATGGACTGAGAGGATAAATGTCAAGACTCAGGGAGAATTGGCATGTATCCCATTATAAAATGATAGAGATTGTGTTTTCAGTGAGTAGTCATAGTTGAATTTGTACAACCAAAGCTCCCATTTGATTGTAATCTTGCCAAAATGTAATGGACATATAAATGAACATGGGGTATAAGCAATAATATCCACTAGTGTTGTTATCAGCTGCTGTAACCAAGTGGCTGGTTCATTTGGTTGATGCTGATTATGGCCTTTAACCACGGTGGTTTGTTTCATGTTTTTTATTTCACACAAAAAAAAAGCCAATAAAATTGTTTAGCTATAAAATGCCTTCGTTTGTTTTTTGTTGTTGTTGTTTTTAAGGATTGCCATCATATTGTGTGTGTAATTTAATAGCTTTTCTAAAGCTATCAACACTTTAAAGGTTCTAGGTCATGGGGGCTTCTGTGTGCTCCAGTAACAAGGCTGTTTGAATGGTGGTCATCTTTGTTTTCAGTGTTATCAGCAGAGATACCGAATCCATGATGTAAATGGGGCATCAGACTCTTGACACTTGGCTAAAACAGTTATAGCATTAGATACTGTGCAGCCTCAGGGGGCATCTCTATCCTAGTGGAATGATTATCATTTGGATTTGGACACTTCCCAGCAATTAAGTGAAACATCTGTACTGATGGGCTCCTAAAGAAGTCTTACCTCCAGAAGCAGGTCTGAGAAAGCCTTCAGGAAAATCAGCAAACAGTTTCTGGTGGTGTAATGTTTGCTCAAGCTCAGAGGGAAAGAAGGTCTCAAATGAGATCTCACAGTGGGACTTTTCTGTGTGGCAAGTTCTCTCTCACTCCATGGGTAAGAGTTAGTTGACTACTGTAAGAAGTAACTGTAGAATGAGGAAAATGGAATTTTCAGCATTTCCCCACACCTTTTTAAGATGGGTGGTGTCAATCACATCACTTTTTATATAGGTATACCAGGGAAGTCCCGCCTGTAGAAAATCATGGTCTTTCTCCTAGAAGGCTTGTAAATCATCAGGGATTTCAGCACACCTATGTTGGCACTTGGGGACCCAAAAATCCTGTTGGTTTATAGTAAACTAAAATATTTTCATTATGAACACTTAATGCAAAGTGTTTCTGAGATATATTTTCACATTGCCTCTATTATATGGTATATCAGTTGTCAAAATGCACTATTGTTCCTTCTTTTTGAGGGGGTGCCAGGGATTGAACCCAGGGGTGTTTAACCACTGAACCACATCTTCAGCCCTTTTTTTATATTTTAACTTAGAGACAGTTTCTTGCTGAGTTGCTAAGTGCCTTGCTAATTTGCTGAGGCTGGCTTTGAACTCACAATCTTCCTGCCTCAGGCTCTCAATTTGCTGAGATTACATGTCACTATTTTTCTTGACTAGAGTATTTCTTGAATGGAGATAGATATTTGTGTGTGTGTAGTATATGTGTGTGTGTTTATATATATATAGATAGATAGATAGATAGATAGATAGATAGATATAGATATATATATATAGATAGATATATAGATATATGTATACATGTACATAAAATACCTGTATACATACATATATAATGTGTACATATATATATGTATATATGTGTACACATACATATACATATATATCCTAATTGGATGGTAGTAGACAAGCAGCAATAATTTCTCTTTTTTAGAAGAATGTGACTATTGCACAAACGTGGTAGAGGTGAAAGGTAGAGTCAAGGAGAATGTGTTTGCATTGTATGTGCATATGTGAGTTAGTGGTCATGTGGCTCCATGAAAGAAGTATTTATTAAGCCCCTTGTATCTGTATTTGTCCACAGTTTCAAAGAGAAGAATAGTTAGATGTTGCAAGCAACCAATGAGGAAACTGCCAACCAAAATTTGGGAAGTTTTTTTTATTGTCTCCATATATAGATGGACAGTTTACAAAAGAAAAAAGGAAAGTGGGAGAGGGAGGATGAGAGGAAGAAAGGAAATAAGGAATTGAAGGGAAGAGCTCTTGACCAAAACCATGGAATTGGAAGTTGATTTAAACACTCGGAGCCACAGATGGACTCTCTTTCTTCCAAGGTGTTCATTTATGAAGATACCACCTATATCATGACTTAATTTATTTTCTAGGAAGACTTTCCTGTCTTGATTTTTCAACTAAAAGGCAGGTGATATGTACAGCATGAAAGGTTTAGACTTGAAAGTGAAGGAGATTGTATGGCGGCACTGGAGAAGCAACATAGATTCATTTGGCTGCATTTGAAAATTCCATGCTTGGCTGGCAATGCCTCTGAATTGGATGCTATTATTTAAGCCATTCAGAGGCATGATTTTTGTAATGGGTTTAGGTGCAGGTGCTCATCAGTTAGGTATTTGCAGACTAAAATATATGAAAATATATGAACAGATAATTCTGCATGTGGAAACCAATCATGCAGTTACATATCCATAGACATGAAAGTGCTATAAACAATAGTAGCAGACACAAAGTGACTTGCCAGCAACTCATTCCAATTGCTCACTATTTCCATAAAACAGAATATTTTAGTAACTGTAGGTGAGATAAGAGCTACCTAAATGTGTCTCCATAGAAGAAGTATTTATTAAGCCCTTTGTATCTATATGTGTTCACATATCCAAAGACAAGAAGAGTCAGATACTGCAGAAAAGAATATGATTCATTTCTTTCTCTTTGGGAGCCAACCATATTTGGGGCATTTTTTTATTAATAGATATGTAGATACATACATATAGACATGTTGATTTGATGGATCCTGGTAGTCCCAATTGGAGTGATAGACTCACGGAATGTTATATTTGTTAAGCAAAAAGATGCATAACTGCTCTATTGTTGAGTCATCTAGAAAACAGAATCAGATTCCACTGAATTTTTAGTGCTGATTAAATGATTCAGGTAAAGCACTTGACACAAAACTTTGTCCATAGCAAGTCCTCGGTAAATGAAAGCTGAACAGAAATGAGATGAACCAGTGTACTTAGCAAATTGAAAACAAAAACAAGAAATCCAAAAGAAGATCAGCCATGCTATGCTT